GTACTCAATAAATGACATTATTACATCTTTTACCTCTGCTGTGACTATTATTACTACAAAGCACTTCTAAAGAGACAAATGTCAATAAAGTAGAACATGACAAAGAAGAAGCTAAGACCTAGCTCTGGACCAGTCTTTTCACCTTATCACTTGCTTCTATCACTAATGTCCATAAAGCTATCCAAAGCAGTGGTAACGTCCACCTAAGTATACAGAAACCTTTCTACAGACAGAGTAAACAGATCTGGAGCTAGTTTTTCTTTTATGCTCATTGCTATCATAAATCCTCATCATTCCATTTTCCATCTTACAAAGAGTCTTCCAAAAGGAAAGGAAAAAAAAGTAAATTTTAAAAATACCCACAATAGGGGCCAGGGAGATGGCTCAGTAGAATAAGCACTTGCCTGGCAAGTGCAAAGGCTTGAGTTCAATCCCTGGTTTCACCAAAAAAAAAAAAAAAATCCCCCAAAACAAACAAAAAAATCCTAAAAATACCCATAAGAGGGCTGGAGAGATGGCTCAGTAGAATAAGCTCTTGCCTTGCAAGTGCAAAGGCCTGAGTTCAATCCCCGGTTCTGGGGAAAAAAAAAAAAACCATGACAGGTAAATCTACATAGATACAAAGCAGTGACTGCCTGGTATGGGAGACAGCCAGAATTGACTGTAGTGATGGCCACACAACACAACTATATCTCAAAAAAACTTTTTATGATCACTTAATTTACTGATTGGTTGACTGCAGTACTGAGAATTGAACCCAGGCCCTTTGTACTGAGTTGCATCCCAACCCCTCTTTATTTTTACTCTGAGACTGAGCCTCACTGAGTTGTTCAGGCGAGATGACTTTGCACTCCTCTTGTCTGAGCCTCCTGATTATTTTAAAAAGTGAATTCTAGCTAGGCATGCCAGTAACCTCAGCAATTGGGAGACTAGCACAAAACCGGTCAAGGCTAGCTGATACACAAAAACTTCAAGGCTGGTCTGTGCTACACAGCAACTGTTTCAAGAAACCAACCGAACAAAAGAATAGTTCTAATACAACAAAACTTGAAAGAAGCAGTGTCATTTCTAGATTTCTGTCTAGGCAAAATAAAATATGAGCAATGTCCATTCCAGGAATTCTGAAAGTGATGTGCGCACAAAAAAACAGCAATAGTAGGATTAAAGTCAATGTCCTTCAGTTACAAGGTAAAGGGTAATCACAATTATGTGAGTGTTACTTGTCACCTTAGAAGTGGCATCTTATCTATTAAGATTATAAGAAGAGTTTTTCTCTTTGATGTCAGAGACTGAACCTAGGGCCTAGTGCATAAAAGGCCAGCACTCTACTACTGAGCTATATTTCCAGTCCTAGAAGAGATTTCTAAAGGCAGCAGAAAGAATAAACATCCTTAAAGGTAGATATCCAAAGAGAACACATTCTTATTTTTATAATAAAACCTGTTTAATATATGAAAGGTTAAAATTTTGACATGTCTATATACAATAAAATATACTAGGGCTAGGGAGATAGCTCAATAGAATAAGCGCTTGCCTGGCAAGTGCAAGGGCCTGAGTTCATCCCCAGTTCCGCCAAAAAAAAAAAAAGTACTTACTAGAATTTAAAAGAAAAAAAAGTATATAAAATGCCTAATTTGATATGATACAATAGTAATGAGAAATTCTCAGGAAATTTGTTCTATAGACGCATTTGTCAATTTAAAAACACATTACCAGTGATGTTAAACTAATGTACAGGAAAAACCATTACACATCAGCTTTATCTAAATATCCTTCCCCACTACAATAGCCAGTTCCTTGGGAAACTGGTATTCAGAATAGACAAAGCAGAATCCAGAACATATTATACCACAAAGTAAAGCATCTCCTAAATGATGAGGACATAGCAAAAAAATTTGTAAAGCTTATGATGCCAGTTTCCTTATTTGTAATAATGTGGGCATCAAAATTAGTAACAACAGTATGACTCAAAAAAATAATGAATTTATTCTAACATGATCAAGTAGAAGGCAAGTTCTTTCTAAAAGAATGCAAATTAGGGCCAGGGAGATGGCTCAGTGGAATAAGTGCTTCCCTGGCAAGCGCAAGGGCCTGAGTTCAATCCCCAGTTCCACCAAAAAGAAAAAAAAAAAAAAACCAAGAATGCAAATTAATGAACTGTAGAAGATAGGAAATTACAAAATCACCTTGTGACAATCCCATTATAGTAATCACCCTTTGATCCATTCTTGCCTAATGATTCAGGCAAGAATCATTAATGAATACTAGAACTACTGGGTAAAACTATAGTATACTTTTCAGTTTCAGATTATTATTTTTTTTTTCATGCTTAACGGCAAATGTATTCAGTTCCTTTCCATGCTGCACATAAGGTACCTATGTGCTTCTTTGAGGATCCTAACATCCTTCATGGTGAATGATCTTGCAGTGTGTTCTGATAAGTATCTTAAAGAAGGCAAAAGGAACATATTTGCTGACCTAGAATTGGCCAAGCAGGGAGTGTACCATGAACATAGCTAATGTCTACTGTCTCTTCCGTCACTTTC